AGTCAAGATGTCTTTTCGTGTCTCTCCATCCGACATAGTCTTCGTCTATCTAGGTCGATGGCCCTGGATGGGCAAGTGATCTTCTCCTTTGTTGTTGTTGGTTTCGGAGCTCCTTTTCTCTGGTGTGTGTGGTGTGTGTGTGGTGGTGTGTGTGTGTGTGTGTGTGTGGTGGTGTGTGGGGGGGGGGTGGTCGGTGGGTGGGTGTGGGTGTGGTTGGGTAAACGCGGGCAAGGCCCAAAATCATGAATGTGCGCGTCAGTGTTCCTGTGTTGATACGCAGCTGCGCATTGATGCGTACCCAAATCACACACGCAGACACATTCACACACACACGCAGACACACACACACACACACACACACGCACATGACGTGATGCACATGTGCGCACGTACGAGCTGGTTGTGCAAGGCGCGACGGCGCTTCTGCTCGTCTTTGAACCGCGAGACAATCTGTCACCAGCATCAACATGACGGTGAGGGTACATCCCATACATCCGCGTTTAGCACTGATGGCTGATGGCAGAGGTTGCATCACGAATCGTACACACAGCGCGTGCACATAGCTCACATACACGTATACACACAAGCTTCTGGCTGGCCGTCACCTGGTCACAGAACGCTTCCCGCTCGGCGAGTGTTTTGTCGCGTTGCTTCGACAACGCTTGTAACCGCTCCAGCTGACACCGTGCACATGTGTCAAAAGCAGAAGTTGTTTGATCCATTGATGAGTTCGATGAAGACGCTTGCTTCGTTGCACATGCACACACACACACACAACAAGAGCGCCCACACAAAACCACGAGCGTGCGTCCACACACACACACACACACACACACACACACACACACACACACACACACACACACACACACACACACACATATATATATATATATATATATATATATATATATATTGCAAAGCCATTGCCCCCCCCCCCCAACCCCCACCTCGGTCTTCTGGGCGATGTGCGCGTCCGCCTCCTCGTTGAGCTTCTCAATCTCTGCCATCAGCGCCGCAATGTCGCTGTCTTTCTCGCTGATCTGAACAAGTGAAAACAACAGAGACGAGCGAGCACGCGCCCACACCGGGCAGACAGTGTGAGTTGCTTGGCCTGGTGCCGTGATCGCGCAGTGTTCACATGCACATGTGTGTACGCATGCGCATGCGCACGTACACGCACACAGACACACGCAAATACACGCGCATGGACATAATTGCACACAAATCCAGACATCTACACACTCTAAACACACGCTTACACAAACCCACTTGCTGTTCTTGCGTCGCCGTTGTGTCCTGCAGTTGCGAGCACTGCTCCTGCAGGTCGTTGCACTGAAATATGACGACAAAACATAGAGTACAGCAGGGCAGCACGGTGAAGGTTGGAGGATACACGAGCTGCTGTCGACGTGATGGGGTCAAATACAGGTCTTCAACTACATCTGTGCATGGCGTGTCATGTGCAGCTGTGTCGGGCAATGGTTCACACACACACACACACACAACCACACACGCACGCACACGCACGCACACGCACGCGCACACACGCACACAGAACCACACGTGCACGTGCTTCCTCATGTGTGCCAGGGAGGCGCCAACCTTTGTGCTGAGTGCTTCGTTTTCGTCTTTGGCGGCCTTGAATCCCTGCTGCGCTAGTTCAAGCTCCGTCTCTGCCGCCTTCAAGCGCTCCTCGACCGCGCCCTTGTCCTTCACGTCGCCCTCCAGCCCTTGCACACGCAGCGCCAGCGCAGCGTTCTCCTCGCGCAGGGAATCGCACTGTGTGCGTGTGCGTGCGTGTGTGTGTGTGTGTGTGTGTGTGTGTGTGTGTGTGTGTGTGTGTGTGTGTGTGTGTGTGTGTGTGTGTGTGTGTGTGTGTGTGTGTGTGTGTGTGTGTGTGTGTGTGTGTGTGTGTGTGTGTGTGTGTGTGTGTGTGTGTGTGTGTGTACTGCAGCTGAGCTCATAGATGGCAAAAATCGTGCCGTGTGCACACCGCACACAAAACCACCAAACACACGTGTACATGTGTACACACCGTCTGCTGCAGTTCGTGGATGCGGTTATCGCGGTCGAGAATGGTGTCGTTGAGCGAGCCAACCTGCAGCAGGAAACGGAGATGCAACACGGAAGATGTTGAGCCACAAGCATCCACAATCAACACATTTGGCACAACATGACCGCACATTCACGCACTCAAACACACAAAACACACGTGCAGGCACACACACGCACACGCACACGCAAACCACACACCTTGGCTTGCAGGTCTTTGGCTTGCTTGACGGCGTCAGCTTGCTCAAACTCCACAATCTTGGCTTGCAGGTGCTGTTGGACGTGTGTGCATGTGTGCGAGAACGTAAGCGCGTGTGGCAATAAGGACTTCAGAGACATGGGTGTAATTGTTGATGCAACCGTACAGTACCAAACAGACCACACACACACACACACACACACACACACACACACACACACACACACACACACACACACACACACACACACACACACACACACACACACACACACACACACACACACACACACACGCACACACACGCACACACACACACACACAAAACACAAAACACAAAACACAAAACACAAAACACAAAACACAAAACACACACGCATACCTCCTCTTCTCTCCTCTTCTCTCCTCTCTCTCTCCTCTCTCTGTTTGCGCTCGCCGGCTGCAGACCTTGATTAATCCAGTGCTCTCCTCGTTTTCTCGCTGAAGGCTGGACAGCTTGCGCTGTGGCAAAAAAAAAACGCGCGCACGCGCGCGCACGCAAGCAAGCAAAGTCCCGCCAACACGGTTGAGAAAGCATGGGACTGCGAGGAATGTGGCACTCACGCCTGCACTGAACACACACACACACACACGCACACAACCTCACACGCAACACAACACAACACAATCACACACACGACACACAATCACACATGCCACAAGACAGACCTCCAGCTGTGCGCGCTGCTGCTCGTGGCGCTTGAGCTGCTCTTCGAGGGTCTGCACAAGTGCGAGGTGCGTGCTCTCATCTTTTGTGCGCCGCAAGTCCGTCAGCAGCGTTGCTCGCTCCTTGGCCAGAGAGTCCATCTTTGAGAAAAGGTGCAACGGCAGGCACAGCGACCAAAGGTGAGATGGAATCAAACAAATTTACAACGCTAATCACAACACATGAACGAAAGAATACAGAAGCACCCACATCCGCCCAAGCGTTAGCACACACACACACACACACACACACACACACACACACACACACACACACACACACACACACACACACACACACACACACACACACCTCTGTCTTGAGGCGCTCCATTTCTTTCAGGCGCTGCGTTTCTTTGCGTTTGAGGCGGGAGCCTTGTCGCTGGTGCTCTTCCAGCTCCTTCTCCAAATGGAAGATCTTCTCGTTGAGCTGGCGGATAATTTCGTCGGATGCGCTGCCGTTTCTCTTCCGCTTTGGCTTGGCTGGCCCGGCCGGCGACGACGGCACAGAGCCGGCGGGGCTCGGCGCGTGGGATTGGAGGCGGGTGGACAGCATGCGCATCTCCACCTGCAGGCGCTCCTTGTCGAGCTCCGACGTGCCCAGCTTCGCCTTTGTCTCCGCCAGCTCGTTGTGCAGGTCGTGCAGCTTGTCGGTGAGGTCGTCGCGCTCCGCCAGGACCTTGAGCAGGAAGTCGTCCACGAAGGGGCGCTCGCGCTGTGCCTCGGACCCGGAGATGCCCTGCAGGTCTGAGCTGAGCCGGGTGTTGCTGTCCATGTCGTTCACCATGCCCTGCAGCAGCTCGACCTGCTTGTGCTTCTCGTCCAGCTGCAGGCGCAGGATCCTTGCCTGCTCCTCACCGATGCGCCGCGTCTCCTCCACCAGCTCGTCTGTTTCCTCGCGCTTCTGCGCCAGCGCGCGCTGCATCTCGTCCAGCAGCTCATCGCGCACCTTCACAGCCTCCCTCAGCGTCTCCAGCTCTTCCTCATTTGCCGTCATCGTCCCTTCCTCTTCCTCGCCATCCATCATGTCAGCGTGTGTTCGTGTGCGTCTGTGTGTGTGTGTGTGTGTGTGTGTGTGTGTGTGTGTGTGTGTGTGTGTGTGTGTGTGTGTGTGTGTGTGTGTGTGTGTGTGTGTGGTAGTGAGTCACACCAGCACAACCACACAGCACAGCAAGTTCAAATTGGCACTCAAATTGGCAACTTCGATTCGACACCATAAGCAGTAGTGATTGGGACGATCTGTTGTTTGCGGTGGTCGTGACGAAAGGGGAGGCGCTTGCTTGCCAACCACACCCTCTTCATTGTCGGTTGACTCAAGTACGCAGAGCACACAGCGCACACAGCGCGCACACTTCAGACACCCGCTCTTCAAACAAGGAAGCAAGCGACCGCCGCTGCCATCTGCGACCCACCTGCATCCTGCCTGCCAGCTTTGTGCACTTCCTGCGTGATACATCAGTACATCACATCACATCACATCACACGTCATCGCGTTGCGATGCTGTCGTGCTGCTCATCAAAGAAGGCTGTTGCTGTGGCCGTCCAGCCAAGCCGCACGGCCGACAACACCGCGCCAGAAGAAGCAGCGCCAGCCCAGCAGGAACAAGAAGACCACCAAACACAGCAGCAACAGCAGCAACAGCAACAGGAGAAAGAGGGCAACGCCAAGCATGCTGTGGAGGTGAAGGTTAGCTCGCCAAAGCTGCGCCACAAACTATCGCCAAAGCCATCGCCTGCGCCCACGCGCCATCACGTAGTCGGGGAACAGTTTGTGGGGCCCCACATCAAATGCAGAAACCAACCATACATGAACGGCCCGGAGCGCGCACAGGTTCCTGACCACCTCGTCTCTTGGGAGGTGCGACACACACAGGCACACGGCAGGCGAAGGGATCGAGGGTGGCGTGGCGTGGTGTGGTGATGTAGATGGACGCGTTGCTGTGGTTTCTGGTTCCAATGTTCGTGCAGTCACGATTGCTCGACACATGGTCATTCTCCCTCCTTTCTTCAACCGACCATATATGCTGCGGCTGTGCTGTGTGGACGCTTGCCAACACCACTCCACACAGGTGGAGTTTCCTGACTACAACCCGCCGGACCACACGGATGATCACGTCAAGGCCAATCCAGAGTGGGCTGACAAGGAGGAGGACCTACCGTAAGCACTTGTGGTCATGTGGCGTGTGTGTGCGTGTGTGTGTGTGGCATGTGTGTGTGATGCGTGCGTGTGTGTGTGTGTGTGTGTGTGTGTGGGTGCGTGTCTGTCTGTCTGTCTGTCTCTCTGTCTGTCTCTCTGTCTGTTTGCCTGTCTGTCTGCACGCACACATGTCGATTTGGTTGTGTTGTCTTGGGTGGCGTGTGCTCCTTCTAGCTCGAAGCTCAACCGAACCGACTGTCGCCATTTGCGCGCTGTCTTCTTGCACGCACTGCAACAGATCTATCAAGTTCAACGAAGGTCCACATAGGAGCTTCATCGGTGCATACCACGTTGACTCGCACACAAACCTGCCGCGGTAAGCAGTCGCACTCATCAACCTTGAGCGTCGAACCCACTTTCCCTCTCACTGCCCCTTGCTTTCACATCATGCTCAACCCGTGCGCGCTCGACTCCACGCGTGTCTTTTCTCTCTCCCATTTTTCTGTTGTTGACCTTGCTCGTTGTCACTCACTCCACCCACCCACTCACCTCCCTCCCTCCATCACTATCGCCACGAGCAGCAACCCGATGGGGCGGACGGGCATGACTGGCCGCGGTCTCCTCGGCCGCTTCGGTCCAAACTTCGCCGCTGACCCCATCGTCACAAGGTGCGCTCATAGTCGTGTGTGTGTGTGTGTGTGTGTGTGTGTGTGTGTGTGTGTGTGTGTGTGTGTGTGTGTGTGTGTGTGTGTGTGTGGGTGGGTGTGTGTGTGGGTGTGTGTCTGTGTGTGTGTGTGTGTGTGTGGGTGTGTGTGTGGGTGTGTGTCTGTGTGTCTGTGTGTCTGTGTGTCTGTGTGTCTGTGTGGGTGGGTGTGGGTGGGTGTGGGTGTGTCTGTGTGTCTGTGTGTCTGTTTGTATGTCTGTCTGTCTGTCGTCTGTCTGAATCATTGTGTGGGTATCCAATGCTGCGCTCATCTCCCGCGATTGTTCCTCTTACCTGACCACCGCCCTCGCCTGCTGTACTCGTGTGTATCCGTGCGTCTGCTGCCGCTGCGCTGAACACGACAGGTGGAAGCGCGACGATGATGACGTGATCCAACTCGACGGCCAAGGGCGAAAGATCCTGTAGTGCGATCTGTTAGTGCTTCGCCCCGAGGTGCGCTGCATCAGGACGATGCCTCGCTGTGTGTGTGTGTGTGTGTGTGTGGGTGTGGGTGTGGGTGTGGGTGTGGGTGTGGGTGTGGGTGTGGGTGTGGGTGTGGGTGTGTGTTCACTCCCTCACCCCCCCTCCTTCCATCACCATCGCCACGAGCAGCAACCCGATGGGACGGACGGGCATGACTGGCCGCGGTCTCCTCGGCCGCTTCGGTCCAAACTTCGCCGCTGACCCAATCGTCACAAGGTGCGCTCATAGTCGTGTGTGTGTGTGTGTGTGTGTGTGTGTGTGTGTGTGTGTGTGTGTGTGTGTGTGTGTGTGTGTGTGTGTGTGTGTGGTGTGTGTGTGGTGTGTGTCTGTGTGTGTGTGTGTGTGTGTGGGTGTGTGTGTGGGTGTGTGTCTGTGTGTCTGTGTGTCTGTGTGTCTGTGTGTCTGTGTGGGTGGGTGTGGGTGGGTGTGGGTGTGTCTGTGTGTCTGTGTGTCTGTTTGTATGTCTGTCTGTCTGTCGTCTGTCTGAATCATTGTGTGGGTATCCAATGCTGCGCTCATCTCCCGCGATTGTTCCTCTTACCTGACCACCGCCCTCGCCTGCTGTACTCGTGTGTATCCGTGCGTCTGCTGCCGCTGCGCTGAACACGACAGGTGGAAGCGCGACGATGATGACGTGATCCAACTCGACGGCCAAGGGCGAAAGATCCTGGAGATGGTCTGCATCAAGCGCAAGGACACCGGCGAATGGGCAATTCCAGGGGTGCGTTGCACCAGTCAACATTTTTGCATCGCAAGCGCCTGCGCGTGCAACTCCGCTACCGACCGCCATCACCCACTTGCTCCTGCATGCGTACACGTGTACGCGCGCACACTTTCTCACTAACATGCTCGCACACGCACACACGCGTACACGTGCGCACGCACACTGCAGGGCATGGTTGATCGTGGCGAGAAGGTGACGTCGGCGTTGCGGCGCGAATTTGGGGAAGAGGCGCTCGCCTCACACGACATCACCCCAGAGGAGGTGCGTGTGTGTGTGTGTGTGTGTGTGTGTGTGTGTGTGTGTGTGTGTGTGTGTGTGTGTGTATGTGTGTGTGTGTGTGCGCGCGCACTTGTCTGCTTTGCTGTCGGTAGCGCAACCACCCTGGTTCCTCTTTTCCAACACCGACACTGCTCTCACCCTGTCTTCCACGACTACCACCACTGCCAATTGTCACCCTTCTCCTTGCAACTGCAGCGGGAGCAGGTGCTGGACTCGATCAAGGACAGCTTTGACCACGGCATCATGGTGTACGAGGGATATGTCGACGACCCGCGCAACACAGACATTGCCTGGCTCGAGACGGTGTGTGTGTGGGCGGTGGGGGGGGGTCTGTGTGTGTGTCTGTGTGTCTGTGTGTGTGTGTGTGTGTGTGTGTGTGTGTGTGTCTGTGTCTGTGTCTGTGTCTGTGTCTGTGTGTCTGTGACTGTCTATCTGTGCCTGTGTTCTTTTGTGTATGTGTCTGTGTCTGTCTCTGTGCCTGCGCCTGTCTGTCCCTCTGCCCCTCTGTATCTGCGATTGCAACTGTTCTCATTGCATGCCTCTGGCCCGTGTGTATCCCTCTCCGGCGCCACTGCCCGCAGACGGCGGTTGTGTTCCACGATGACGACGGCACGTCCTTTGAGCAGTTTGACCTGAAGGCGGGCGACGATGCCGGTGACGTGAGTGTGCACACAATCCACCCATGCTGCGGAGAGTCGATGCTTCGTTGAGGCCGTCGACTTTGTGGCTGTGTCTGCTTGTGCGACCTTGAGCACAAGGAAGTGTGTGTCTCTGTGTGTGTGTGTGTGTGTGTATCTGTCTGTCTGTGTGTCTGTCTGTGTGTCTGTCTCTGTGTGGGGGAGGGGCAAGAGCTGTGCGTGCAGGATGCACTCAAGTACAACTCACCTCATCCATCACCTCACCTCACCTCTGTTTTGCTTGTAGGTGGCGTGGGTGTCGATTGAGCCGAAGATGCAGTTGTATGCCAGCCACTACTCGTATGTCAAGCTGGCATACAAGATCATTGCGGGGCAGGAATTGGAATCGTAGCGCCTGCTGGCTTCTCTCCGCGCTCTGGACTGCCTCCGTCCATCCTGCTGGCTTCTGACTCCCAAGATACACACACATACACACACACACACCATCGAACATCACTATCCTGCCTAGCCTGTGTTCTTTTCTTTGTCTCACTGTTCGTTTACGTCTGATTCCTCTGCTTTTGCTTTATGTATCGCTCGTTTGTCCTTTTCGTTGCTGATTGGCTCGCTCGCTCGCCTGCTGGTGTCCTTTCTTCTATCAAAGGCCCCTTGTATACGTACCTGGGTCACATCACTTTGACGTTTGCGTGGCACAGAAGTGGGCTGTTGGACGTGGGGTGCAACACGTGGTGGAAGTTGAGAGCACTTTCATTCTTCATTTCCGTCCACACACAGCACAACAAAACAAGGCGCAAAACAACTCGCAACGATGATGCAAGTGTGTGCAACACGTGCTGCGGCGCTCAGTGCACGCAGCCCTGCCCTCCTCCTCTCTCGCTCCCTCGCCGTCAAGGTTGTGTGTGTGTGTGTGTGTGTGTGTGTGTGTGTGTGTGTGTGTGTGTGTGTGTGTGTGTGTGTGTGTGTGTGTGTGTGTGTGTGTGTGTGTGTGTCCTCGACTGTGTTCTTTGCGCCGTGTAGTTTCGCTGCGGTGTCTGTCCCACCCCATCCCACTGCACCACCTCTCGTTCACCCCTCAGTCACCCTTCCCTGCACTGACCAATGCACCAACTCGCCAACCCCCTTCCCGCTGCCCTTACCAACCGACGGCCACTGCAGCCCTCTGTGGGCAACATCAAGGAGCTGCGCAAGCGCACGGACCTGCCGATGAAGCTGTGCCGCCAAGCGCTGGCAGAGAGCAGTGATGACGTGAACGCCGCAATGGAGTGGCTCAAGAACAATGAGGAAGCCCGCGCACAGTGAGTGTTGGGCTGTATATGACTGTGCGTGTCGTGTGTGTGTGTGTGTGTGTGTGTGTGTGTGTGTGTGTGTGTGTGTGTGTGTGTGTTTGCGTGTCGTGTGTATCTGCGTGTGTGTGTGTGTGTGTGGGCGTGTCTGTCTGTGACTGTGTGTGTGTGTGTGTGTGTGTGTGTGTCTGGACCTGTGCCTGTCCTCTCTGCACCTTTCCATTCCCTCTCACGGCTTGCTGCGTGGCACTCCCAACTCTTCATGCTTTGGCCCACACACGCCCGCAGAATGGTCAAGGACAAGCTGGCTGGTCGCGCTGCTGCAGAGGGCCGTGTTGGCGTGCTCACGTCGCCAACAGCGGCCGCGCTCGTCAAGGTGATGTTTTGCACTCCTTCACACAGTACCACTCCTCTCTCCCAATGGCCCACGCCTCAACCCCCCCCCCCACACACACACACACACACACACACACACACACACACGCACACGCACGCACACGCACGCACACACACACACACACACACATGATCACACGCTGTTTCGCTGCAGACACCAACCCCCGCCATTGCATGACTGCGCACGTGTGTACTGCGTATGCAGGTGAACTGCGAGACGGACTTTGTTGCACGAAACGATGAGTTTGTGAGCATGGTGGATGAGATTACGGAGAGCTGCATGCGCATGATGCAGCAACGGGATACAAGTACCGAGTTTGTCACCCTCACAGACGAGGTGCGCTCCCTGCTGTGTGTGTCTGTGTCTGTCTGTCTGCCTGTCTGTCTGTCTGTCTGTCTGCCTGTCTGTCTGCCTGCCTGCTGTCTGAGTCTTCTGCGGATATGCTCAGGGTCATTGTTCGCCTGCCTGTGTGCGTTGTCCGTGTTGCGTCGCTTGCTCCTCACAGCAGCGCGCATTCATCATTCCTTCTTCATCACACGCAATCACAGGAGCTTGCGTCTCTTCCCGTGGCAAGTGGTACGGCCAAGACGCTCATCGATGCTGCCCTCTCTACCCACGGCGAGGTATCTTTTTTGTGTCTGTCTGTGCCCCTGTCTCTGTCTGTCTGTCTGTGTATGTCGTTGGTGACTGCTGCCTTATGACAATGGCCTGGTGTTCTTCCAAATTGATGTCACTCGCCCAGGTTACTCACCCCCCTTGCCAACAAACAACCCCCCCCCCCCCTCTGCTTCGTGTGGCGGGATAGAACCTTCAACTGAGCCAGGCGTGTGGTGTGCATGCCCCTGATACGTGCGTCCTCGGTTCCTATTCCCACAACAACGGCTCCTACGCCGCCGTCATCTGCCTGCAGGCTGATGCACCCGTCTCCTCGCTTCCCCAGTGCGTACCATGTTGTGTGTGTCTGTGTGTCTGTGTCTGTCTGTCTGTCTGTGTGTGTCTGTGTGTGTGTCTGTGTCTGTGCCTGTGCCTGTGTCTGTGTCTGTCTTTTTGCCTGTGTCTGTCTTTTTGCCTGTGTCTGTGTGTGTGTGTGTGTTTGTGTGTGTGTGTGTGTCTGTCTGCTGTGTGTGTGTGTCTGTCTGCTGTGTGTGTGTGTGTTTGTGGTATGCCTACTTGTCCGCCGATCTGCATCGTCCTGCCTTTCCACCTCCCTGCAAGCTTCTGCGCCTATCTGCATCCTTCCACTCACGTCCTTCCACTCACGTGCCCTCACCCTGCTCCCCCCCCCTTCCTCCTCCTGTTCCCGCGCCTCTAAACAGGTCTGCCCAGGACGTGCTGAAGACGACAGCAGATGCGCTGGCGAAGAACGTGGTTGCGGTCGAGCCCGAGGCGGAGGAGGGCCAGTCTGTGCTGGACGCGCTGCGTACGCAGGCGCTCGTGTTCTCTCCAGACCACACCGTGCGTGACGAGTTGGCGCGCGCCGGCAAGGATGCCAGCACAACCCTCGATGTCGTCTCCTTTGTTCGCTGGCAGAAGTAAACACGCCTGACACTATGTGTGTGTGCAATCTTGGTGAGCGTGGAGGAGCGAGACAATGAGAAGGGCAGCGAGATTGACAGCGAGATGGAAGGATTGGAACGCACAGCAGCACAACCCACACAAACCAAAAGTCAAAGAAAACACCAAGCAAGCAAGCAAGCAAGGTAAGGCAACAAGGACAACAAAAGCCGATTATGGAGGCGGCCAAAGGTCTGTTCTGTTGTCGTCCTCTTTGTGTTGTCACATCTTGTCCTGCTTCACTGTTGTCCACTGGCTGTGCGTGCGTCTGCCCTGCTCATGCTACAATTGCACGACATGTATGATGTGTAGTGCGGGCGCAGCTCAACGTTAAGACGGAGCTGATTGAAGCAGAGCTGGTCAAGGTGAGCGTCAGCTGTTGCTTTGTTGTGCATCTGCTTGCTGGTTGGCTGGTAGGGGGTTGCTTGCTTGCAAGCAAGGGACCACGCCCACACCATGACAGCAGTGATGACACGCTTCACCCATGTGCGCGTGTTTACGTGTATGTCTCCTCTTGTTGCTTGAATCTATTGATGCACTGCAGTGCTTACCACTGCTGGACGCGCGGGTCAACGTCTGCGGGCACAGGGTATGTGCATGTGTGTGTGTGTGTGTCGTTGTCTGTGTGTGTCTGTGTGTGTCTGTGTGCGTGTGTGTGTGTGTGTGTGTGTGTGTCTCTGTGTCTCTGTGTCTCTGTGTGTCTGTCTATCTGCCTGCCTGTCTGTCTGTCTGCATCAGCTATGCGTCCGTTGTTTGCACTGTCAGCTTAGCAAACCCAACTCAGAACAGTGATGTTGTTATGCTTGTGATTGATGGATCCGTCCTCTCTCTCTCTTCCCTCTCTACTCCCTCCATTCCTCTGTTGCCCCCCCCGCCTCCCTAATTCCTCTCTCCATCTGACGCCAACTTGCTTAGATTGCGGCGTTGGAGCAAGATATCGAGGACATCAAGCAAACATTGAAGGCCGCCCTGCTGCTTCACAACTCAAACTAACACTACGACGACTACGAGTGCCTGAGTGCGTTGCTTCTGTCAGCTATGAGGCCCAAGCCTCCACGAGTGCAAGCAGCTGAGTGTCGGTTCTTGACCCGCACAAGTTTGCTCCCGGGCCACTTTGATTTTGCTCCTTCTGCTGCTTATGCCATCCCACTAAATGGACACGTTGTTCGCGACATTTGCTTCCTCTCGAGTACGCACATGCACCCACATGGCACGCCATATCCATCCTCTGTACCTCTAAACTTGTACCCATCTCTTTGCGTTTGTCCTTGTTCATAGCCCTGTCCCTTTCTCTTGAACGCAAACGCTCGTCTCATCGAGCATAAACACACGAGACTGCACATCTCTGATATCACGTTAGCTCGTCTCATGCATCCATACATCAACACGCGGCACGAACAACACATGCCTTACTTCAACGCGTACGTGACAGCACTTGCTGTGCTGTACAAGTCTACCTCGTCATTTATCAAACAAGCGCCAATCGCATGCATGCAAACATCGGAAGCGTGGCCATCGGTTATGCACATCACAAAGCACAACAGCGCAACAGCGCAGAGCAATCGAGCCTCAGACACAAACCAATCAATATGATGTAACAACCTGTCCTAGGTCATGCAAACACAGACACAGACACAGACACAGACACAGACACACACACACACAGACACACAGACACATAGACACATAGACACACAGACACACAGACACACACACACACACACACAGCGTCACTTGCGGGTGATGCTTGGCGGGGCGACGTTGGAATACCCTCGCCTGCCCATTGCATCCTTGCAAATGGTAGGATCCCAGTCCTCGGGCCAAGGATGGTAGGACGGTCGACGCCCAGGCATAAACGCACTCACAGGCCGCTGCCTGTTGCCTGGCGCCCCCTTATCGCTGGCCTGTCCCTCCGCCTGTGCGTGGCGCTCGGCCGCGCCAGAGGAAGGATCGCACACGCTCCAGCGGCCACCGCCAGCTGTCGTCGGTGCTTCGGCCCTGGGCGTGGGAGACACTGCCACTGGTGGTGTTGCGACTGCAGGTGTGGACTGTGTAGGCGGCGGTACCGGTGTGCTCCGTGGCGTTGAGTCACCATCAAACACGTCATCGCCTTCACCCTCACCTTCACCCTCATCGTCAGCATCGTCGCCGGCGGCAGGGCCAGCAGGGGCCTTGTTGCTGGGGCTCAACTTGAGAACACTCGTCGCGCTCGTCCTGATGTCACTGCCATGGCTTGGGTTGGCTGCAGAGGTTGACGCGCTGCGGCGGGACGGCGGGGCCACAACAACGCCGGCATCTGTCTGGCTGCGAAAGCGAAAGCGCTCACGCACGCGCTTCGCTGTGTCATGAAGGTCCGCGGCCTCTGGTCGACGGCTCGATGCAGGCGGACACGTGTGTCGGCGCAGGCTCGCCACGTCTGATTCGTCGTCCGTGACATACTGATGGAAGGAGGATAGCGAGTGTGTATGTGTATGGGGAGAGGGGTGGGGGTGCGTGAGGGTGATGTTGTGAGCGAGCGGAAGCACAGAGGAGAAGAGGAGAAGACAGGAGTAGAAAGAAGGGGGAGAGGAAAGAGGGACGTCAAGGGCATTCAGGCAGACACACACGTGAAAAAGTGCACACACACACACACATAAGCCGCTCACACACACACACACACACACACACACACACACACACACACACACACACACACACACACACACACACACACACACACACACACGCAAGACGCACAACCCACCCGCACATAAGCCGCTCATACACACACACGCGCGCGCGCACACACACACACACACACACACACCATGTCACGCACCCTGCTGTAACATTCAAAGACATTTTGGTAGCGATGCGCCATCTTTGCCATGTACGGGGTCTGTGACTTGAGACGGGTCTCCTGTCGCGTCTGCTCTTCCCGGGTGAGATGCGCGTTGGTGGACCGGCGCTTGGACCAGTCATACTTGAGCATGGGCGAGCCCGGGATGACGCGAATCTCCCGCGCTTTCGTCTTGCCTCCCTTTGTCTTCGTTGTCGACGACGACAGACCAGAAGAGGAGGAGGAGTCATCATCGCTGCCGCTGCGAAACGACACGAACCGGGACATGCCCTGCTTCACCCTGGCCAGAAACCGCGGTTTGCGCGGCTTGTCGCCAACTTTTGATGTTGCTGACGATGACGCGGTGGAAGACGAGGAACACGTGGACGTGGACGACACCGTGGCTTGGACGCTGGTTGTGGCGTTGCTGCTGTTGCTTGCTGGGAGGATGCTGTCGGTGGTGGTCGTGGTGGCTGCTTCATCCAAGATGGTGGACCGCTGTCGCCACACACCTTGTTGTGGTTGGTTGGTGTTCTTCGTCAAATCCGCCTCTGCAGCAGCCCTTTGCTCCTGCAATCTTGGTGTTGTTGCCGTATCCTTTGTACTCACGTGTGTTGTTGTAGAGGCTGGGTGCGCCTGCTCCGTGTGGTTCTCGGCTTCACTCGCCGTGTCAAACTTCCGCAGCATCGTAGTGTCTGTCTGCGTGTGTCTGTGCGTGTGTGTGTGTGTGTGTGTCCGTCTGTGTGTGTCTGTGTGTGTGTCTATCTGTGTGTGTCTGTGTGTCTGTGTGTGTGTGTGTCTGTGCGTGTGTGGTGGGAAAGAGAAAGAGAGGGTTCGACAAGCGACCCAAACAGTCGGCGAGAAGCGTGCAACGACTGCCACGTAATGTAATAACGGCAACGGGAACCGTTATGTCGATGTGATGTGAATGAATGGCTTTGCTGGTGTAGCGTGTGTGCTCTGTTGCGCACGCTGATTGAATGGACGTCGGGAGGGTGTGGTGTGGCTGTGGTTGCGTGTGCGTGTGTGTGTGGGCGTGTGTGTGTGTCTGTTCGTGGTTGGAATGTTGGAAGTAGCACAGAGAGTGAATGGTCATTCGTCGTGGTGGCAACAAGGCATGACGATGATGACGCCACCACGAGTTGGTTCGCGACTGTGCATGGCGCGTTGAGGTGACGAACGAATATACGATTTCGTCAGGTTTTGTTGAAACATGTATGACTCGTTTAATGTAGACGACAACGACACACGAAAATGTGCAAGGAGGAGGTGCACTGACGCACACACACAAGCGCACACGCGCACACTGACACACACACGCTCGCACGCCCATGCAGTGTTGGCCGCTGCTCTTACGCTTCCTCACTTGCTCATGAGGCTGATGAGGGCGATGCAGAAGGCTGGGAGGTCATCTGGGGTGCGGGACGTGACAATGTTGCCGTCTACAACCGCCTCTTGGCCCTCCACATACTCGGCACCAGCGTTCTGAATGTCGTCCTGAACAACAGAACACAACATGTGACCAGTGTGTGTGTACGTGTGTGTGTGTGTACGTGTGTGTGTATGTACGTGTGTGTGTACGTGTGTGTGTACGTGTGTACGTGTGTGTGAAGTAGAGGATGAATGGGTGATTGAAGGAGCAAATCCGACAAGTACAGTGATGTGTCCAGGCGCACATACAACACAAACAATTGCACACACAACACAAACACACATTCAACACAAACACATGCATGCGCACACAAACACAAACACACATACAACACAAACAATTGCGCATACACAGTGCCAACACAAACCTTGATGGAGTGGAAGCAGGTCATGCGCTTGCCGGCACACACGTTGGCGGACACGAGAAGCCAGGGGCCATGGCAAATGGCGCCAACAGGTTTGCCTTGCTCGCAGACCTCACGAACCAATGTCTTGAAGCTGTCATGGCGCCGCCAATAGTCTGTTGTGCACGGCAAGTAAACATAACTCACACGATGAGTGCACGGCAAGTAAAGATGTGACATCTAATTGAATAAATAAGCAAACAGCGCACGTCAGAGGAGACGGACAAATCTTGAATGCTCTGCTTCGGCAAGATCGGGGAGCGAGGGTCATCGTCCAAAGAAGTTCAACCAAGTCCTTGATACAGGGCAAGTGACGCCGCCGGCTGTGGCCACGCCCACAACGAAAGGCGATCTCCACTGCACCTGTGCAAGTGAACACTGACCTGGAGCAAAGCCACCAGGGATAATAAGACAGTCAAGATCCTTGGCCTGTCCAAGCACGCAGAGAGAGAAAGAGAAGGGTGGTTTCAGACATGGCAATGAGTTTCAATGGCAACGAACTTGAGTGTTGATGAACTGTCAAAGAAGCGATGAGCTTGTATAGCGGGCATGAACAAAGGAAGATGGATGCATGCACGCGGGCAGTTTGCACGTTTCACAGCTCAATCATGCAACAGACACGCATTAAACAACCTTGCAGCACCACACACAAGCGCAACAACCGACATCCTCATCAACAACAACACACACACACACAGAAATGCACAAACACCACACACACACACACACAAATGCACAAACACCACACAAGCACACACACACACACCCAATCAACCAACAAGACCTCAATCTCGCCGATGCCTGTGTTTGCTTTCACGGGCAAGCCATGCTTTCCTTTGGCTTTGAAGTCCTTGCTTGGTCCAATCAGCTTCACTTCACATCCTTCCTCCCTGTAAATGGTGGGCGACGGTTTCGATGAGTGGCACGCTGTGGCCGCATCACGCGCCCGCACACAAAGCAGAGAGTACGCACGCGTCTACATATGACACAACCCCTCTCCTTTCGCTTTCACAACCCAGATGTTGATGTGGTTATGTACGTGTGGACCTGTGTGTATGCGTGTGTGTATGTGTGTGTGCATGTGTGTGTGTGTATGCGCATGTGTGTGTGTGCATGTGTGTGTGTGTGTGTGTGTACGGCACGCGTTCCAGCTCACTTGAAGCGCAGCGCTGGGTAGTGGAACTCCAGGTCTTCCACATTGTACTCCGCAAGGATGCCGACAACTTTCCCAGAGAGCGCCATCGTTGCTGTCCTTCCTTCCTCTTGCTGTGGTTTCTTGGGGAGAAATGGTGAAAGATATTCAGTAACTATCAGCAATCACTGCCCGCAATCATAATGCTGTTGTTGTTTGGATTTGTGGTGGCGGTGGTGGCCGGTGCCATCATCCCAAGCAGTGCATCAGTTCCCTCCGTACCCCTCTACAACGCAGCTCGCCATGGTGTCATGGTACGTGTATGCGTATGTGTATGCGTGTGTGTGTGTGTGTGTGTGTGTGTGCGTGTGTGTGTGTGTGTGGGTGTGTGTGTGCGTGTGTGTGTGCGTGTGTGTGTGGGTGTGTGTGTGTGTGTGGGTGTATGCGTGTGTGTGTGTGTGCATGCGTGTGCCTGAGTGTCTGTCTGCATCTGCATCTGCATCTCTATCTGTATCTCTATCTCTGTGTGAGCAAGCCTGTGCTACAGCTTTGTCCGCCTGCTTTTTCTTTTTGTCAGGCTTTGATCGCATTGAACGCTTCGACTCATCGTTCCAACGCTTCCGCCACAACTGTAGATGCCCGTGACAGGCTTGGGCACCGGCAGTTACGGCTCCTACTACCACAATGAAACTGAAGTGGAAGATGGTGTGTTGCCCTCCTTTTCTCACCGCGTGCTACACTGTCACACAAACAATTGCATGCACGTCATACACACATCGCACACACACGCACACATCACGAACGCACATCTCACGAAAACACGCACCCAAACCTTCGTGCCCTCACCCTCATGCACTGCTTCTTGTTTTTTTCGCGTGTTCTCCTTGCCGTCAAAGCCGTGTACCACTGGCTGAAGGCCGGCGGCCGTCGCATCGATGCATCCCTGTCTTACAATGACCAAGTGCCAGTTGGACGAGGCATCAAGCGAAGCGGCATTCCCCGCGAAGAGGTGTTGCGTTTCTGACACGTGTCAGGCTTCTCTGCACTGGCTTCGTGTGTGTGTGTGTGTGTGTGTGTGTGTGTGTGTGTGTGTGTGTGTGTGTGTGTGGCGTTAGTGCGGTGGTTGTCTTTGATCGCACAGCTTCGTTCAAGATACCCATATACCAAAGCAGCCATGCCATCCATACTCCTTCCTCACACACACACACACACACATACATACTCTCTCTCTCACACTCCCTCACACACTCTCACTTACTTTCACACATTCACACATGCGCACACTCTCACGCACATGCGCACAGATCTTCATCACGTCCAAAGTTGGGCCCACCTTGCCGCTGGGCTACAAGGACACCATGAGCCAGTTTGAGCAAATCCTGCAGACTCTGGACACCACATACGTGGATCTGGTACAATGCCTGTGCTTGCCTAAGTGCGACCTTCATTCATTCATTCATTCATTTGTCTCCGTGTCGTCCTCTGAAAATCGTCTGTGTGCACACGCGCGCGCGTGAGTGTGTGTGTGTTGCAATCGTGGCACTGACATCTTTGATGCACGTCCCGCTGTTAGCTGTTGATCCACTGGCCTGGACCAAGCGAAAACAGCACCGACCCAGCCTGTGCCGGCGTAACCCCAAAGGTAACCACGTTGTGCGTCTTGTGTATGTGCCTTGAACACTTGAACACTTGAACACTTGAAAACTTGAACACTTCTGTACTCATGCAAGTGTCTGTGTGCCTATCTCTCTCTCGCTGTGCCTATGTGTGCATGTGTTGTGTGTGCACGACTCTTCTACGTCCACCATATCAGCTGTGCCGACAGTCCACATGGAAAGCGCTGGAGGCCATCTACACGAGCGGCGGCGCACGTGCCATCGGCGTCTCGAATTTCGAAGTGCGGCATCTTGATGACATCACCAGCATGCACGGCCTCCTCCCAGCCGTCAACCAGGTGACACTGCGTAGTAGTGATTGTGAGTGTGTCTGTGTGAGTGAGAGAGAGAGAGAGTGTGTGTGTGTGTGCATCTGCCGCGTCTTATTTTATCAACATTTGTGTGGTCACCCGCCATGTCTTCAACTTCACATGCCCCCTACCCACGTCGGGGTCCCTGTGTGATTGTGATGGCGTACAGGTTGAGTATCATCCCTTCTGGCACGAGGAGAAGCTGGTGGAGCACTGCCACCGCCTCAATATCACCTTCAACGGTTACAGCCCCCTCGGCACGCCAGATGTCTCCCCGTCAAGGTGGCAACCCAACCACACGCGTGTGTCCGTGTGCATATGTCTGTTGTGGGTGTGTGTGTGTGCATGTCTGTTGTGGGTGTGTGTGTGTGTGTGTGTATGTCTGTGTGCAAAGGCACACAAGTTTGCTTGTGTGCTCACGCACCCCAATGTAGCCGGTGTACCATGCTTCACGGCTCCTCTCCCACTTCACTTCTTGGCACTCACGACCACGCCGCATGTTGCAAATGGATTCAGATGTGGGTGGAACCTTCTTGCCGATGAAACCCTCAACACCATTGCCAAGAAACACGACGTCGATGTCTCACAGGTCATTTGAACACACGCGTGCACATGTACGCATGTACGCAACACTGTTAAAGATTTCCGCTCCGTGCATACCCCCCTCACCACACACACACACACACACACACACACACACACACACACACACACACACACACACACACACACACACACACTAC